TCACTTACTTATTCACCGAACATTGAGCACCTACTGAGTACTGGGGTTACGATGGCAAACGGGGGACAGTCTCTGCCTACTGTTTGGTGGGGGTGGAGTACTTAGTAACCGTCGTCATTATTGAGTGGTTACCTATGCTGGGCACAGTGCTGCTACTGGGTGACTGTGTCCCCAGGGCTGTCCCAGGCTGGGGGCCTGAAGCAGTAGTTATCAGCTGAACTGAGTTAATCCACAGTGGAAGGTAACCCACTCCCTGCCTTAGGGCAAATGCTGAGCAGATCCAGGTTTTCCTGTTTTGTTGTTGGGTTTTTTTGTTTGTTTGTTTGTTTTTGAGACACGGTCTCTGTCACCCGGGCGGGAGAGCAGTGGTGCTATCTCAACTCACTGCAGCCTTGACCTCCAGGGTCCAAACAGTCCTCCCACCTTCCCACCTCAGCCTCCCAGGTAGCTGGGTCTACAGGTGCACACCACCACGCTCAGCTAAAGCTTTTGTATTTTTTGTAGAGACAGGGCTTCACCACATTGCCCAGGCTGGTCTCGAACTCGGCTCACGCAATCCACCTGCCTCAGCCTCCCAGAGTGCTGGGATTCCAAGCGTGAGTCACCTCGCCTGGCCAGTGGATCTGTTTAAAGCTCTACCATCTGCGGTAGTTGAGGCTCTGCACCTGGCCGTCACCCAGCACCTCTGGGGTCCCCATCGGAGCCATTCAGCTCCAGTGAAAGCCAAGTCAGACAGAAAGGGTGGGGAGCGGTGGAGGCTGAGGGTTTCTTCCCTACCTCAGCTTCAGGAATGGAAGGCCATGTTGTCCTGGCTGTGGCTTCAAAAACCTGGAATCCCAGCAAATTTGGGAGGCCGAGGTGGGAGGATTGCTTGAGCTTAGGAGTTTAAGTACAGCCTGCTGGGCAACATGGCGAAAACACATCTCTACCAAAAAAACAAAAATTAGCTGGGCGTGGTGGTGCATGCCTGTGGTCCCAGCTACTTGGGAGGCTAAATTGGGAGGATCACTTGAGCCCAGGAGGTGGAGGCTGCAGTAAGTCAAGATCGTACCACTGCACTCCAGCCTGGGCGACGGAGTGACTCTGTCTCAAAACAAAAACAAAAAAACCAGGTTTGATAACCAATGGGACCTCGGGGCTGGGAGAGCCAGGGAGGGCATGGGGTCAGTGCTGGGCACAGGGCTGACAGGACCATCCCTTCTGCTTTGCTGGAGAATGCCACCAACTGAGAAACCAGCTTTTCTGTCCCATCCCATCCCCGGAACCTGAGGAAGCGAAGCAGCTGGGCCAGGCACTGCGCATGTCACTTCCCCACACAGTGTCTCGTTCAACAGGTAAAACAGAACCTGCCAAGGCAGGGACCTCTGGGGGTGCCTGGCCCAGCCTCATGCTCCGTGTGGGCGTCCTGAGGGAGCCAGCCCTTCCTGGACAAAGGCAACTGGTTAGCATAGTTCCATTTCCTTGACCACACCAAAACATCCACACTTTTCCCTTCAGGCCACACCTGGAGATGAGCATCCTGCCATCCCGTGACCTGCAGGAAGGAGCAGGAGGTGTGAGCCAGGGAGAAAGAAACGCCACCTGCAGAGGCGTTTAACTTGGTAACATGTTTGCCATCAGTAACCATGGCCCCATCAGTATGGCAGAATCCCATTGATGAGATTCACCTTTATTGTAATTTTTTAAATTTTTGTAGAGATGGGGTCTTGCTATGTTACCCAACCTGGTCTTGAACTCCTCAGCTCAAGTGATCCTCCCGCCTCAGCCTCCCAAAGTGCTGGGATTACAGGCGTGAACCACCATGCCCGGCCTTGGCCCTTCTCTTTGGGAGGAACCTGGGGGAGGTTCCAGGCATTGGTAAGCCCCCTGGTGACAAGCAAATAGAGCCATTGTTTATTTACCAGGCACTTACTGTGTGCCAGGTGCCGGGACATGAGGCTCCGTGCTCATCTTGATCACGGCTATGTTCTGAAGCAGACGGTGTTATTGATCTCATGGGATGAAGAAACGGCTTCAGATGTCTGCTCAAGTCACAAGGCTCACAGTGGCTGGGGCACACTTGGAGCTCAGTGTGCAGGACACAAAGTCTGTGCTCCCTGCCACCTGCCTCCAGCATCTGGATGTCACCAGCTCCTTCAACAGGGCTCCAGGCACCCAGGCCACCAAGTTCTTCCAGCCCCAGCAGTTTGAATCCTACTTGGGGCACTGGAATGAGGCCTCCAAGGGAGAGGAGACTCAGGTTTGGATGAGCTGCAGGCCGGCTGCTCTCTGACGGTAGGGGCTGTATTGCCTCCATCACACAGGGCACTCCCCAGGGGGAGGAAGGAACCATAGCTCCTGCCTGAAAGTGCTATCACCCCAAAAGCTGGTGTTTCCCAGGAGGAAGGGATTACATCAGCCCATCAGAGAAGGGCCTCCAGGCAGGGGCTGTGTTATCCCGTCTCACTCTTCCCCACCCAGCACCAGTTCAGGCCCACACATGGCACTCATGTGGCCATATGGTACCCCCAGATCTTCAGGCTGAAAGGGCACCTACTGGTCCCAGGTAACTGGCGTGGAGCCAGGTCCCAGACCCAGGTGGAGCAAGACGTCTGGCTGGCACCTGAGGCAGGCACAGGCCAGGGCAAGCTGGGGCTGGGGACCTGGGGGTAACTTATCCTGAAATCTCAGCAGGGCCAGAGGCTCAGGAAAGCCACTATTCAGGATGGTGAGAAGGGAGCCTGGGCCCAGCAGGGTTCGGGCCACTCCTGAGGGTGAGGCTGGACTGCCACAAGCCCTGGGCCCCCAGCACGGAGGAAGGGGACACGGGTCACCAACGATGGCCAGGCATGGGGTGGCTCCCGCAGCTGGAGGGCCTCATGTTGCTGCTGCTCCTAGCTGGGCAAGTTGCTCAATTGCGCTGAGCCTGTTTTCCCATCTGTAAAATGGCCATAAGAATACTCCCATCTTGGCTGGGCGCAGTCACACCTGTAATCCCAACACTTCGGGAGGCTGAGGCGGGCAGATCACCTGAGGTCAGGAGTTCGAGACCAGCCTGGCCAACATGGTAAAACCCTGTCTCTACTAAAAATACAAAAATTAGCTGGGTGTGGTGGCGGGCACCTGTAATCCCAGCTACTCAGGAGGCTGAGGCAGGAGAATCGCTTGGACCCAGGAGGTGGAGGTTGCAGTGAGCTGAGATCGCACCATTGCACTCCAGCCTGGGCAACAGAGCAAGACTGTCTCAAAAAAAATAAAACAAAAAATAAGATAAAATAAAAAATAATAAAAATAAAAACTCCATCTCAGAGCTGGCTGTGAAGACGGGAGATCTCGAGCACTGACGGCAGGCGACGCAGCCGGCATATAGCAAGTGTGTAACTAATAGCTGCAGGCCAGATGGCATCCCGGGCTCCGTGGGTGACCCTAGGAGGACAGGGCAGGGGAGACTGGCCCTCTCTGCTCACCTGGGTCTCAGAGGTGTGCCTTGCCTCCTCTCTCCAGCAAAAGGCTCTTCCCCCCACCAAACCCCATCCCCTGCTGCTGGGCTGCTGCTGGGCTGCTGCTGGGTGTGCCCCAGGACCTTGTCCTTAGCACTGGTGTGGCTTTTCAGGCTCCTTGGAAGCAGCCCCGCCTTGGAAGCAGCCCAGACACCCAGCTCCAGGCCTCTGTACCTGCCCCTCCCTTTTCCTGAATTGCCCTCCCCTCTGCCTTCAAGATCCAGCTCAAAGGCCACTCCTCTGAGAAGTCTTCCCTGATTGACCCTCCTAGGGCGGGTCTCATCTGCTCATTTCCTGATCTTTCTGCCCTCTGGTCATGGTAATCGTCTCTTCTCCTGGAAGGCAGGGTCTTGAAGCTGGTTCACCACAGCCCAGGTGTCTGACACGGCAAAGGCCGAGCGGAGGGCTACACTCACCAAGCACCTGCAGCGCCAGAATGGCACGGCGCTATCTCCCTTCTCCGGGGCTGGGAAGCGAGATTCTAAAGGCAAGGCTCACTCTGGAGACGCAGCTTCTGTCCCCAAGACTACCCCACCAGATGCCCCAAGTCCCTAGTTCTGGTTTTCCAGAGCTAGGTTTGGGTGTGTCGGGTGAGATCAGGCCGGCAAGGTGGGTAGCTGGCGCCTCTGTGCTCCAAGCACCTGAGGGGTCATGACCCCCAGCAAAGTGGAATCAGACAGGGTCTGGAGCCAGGCGTGGTGGCGAGCATCTGTAGTCCCAGCTCCTCGGGAGGCTGAGCGGGAGGATTCCTGGAACCCAGGAGTTCAAGGCTGCAGTGAGCTATGATCGCACCGCTGCACTCCAGCCTGGGCTAAAAAATTTTTAAAAATAAAAAAACAGGGTCTGGAAAACACTGAGTTTGGGGGTCCAGGAAGCACTCAGGGCTCAGCCCTGCCTTCCTCTCCACCCTCCCACCTTGCTTCTGTACCCGCCACTTCTTCCTCCTGCCTTCAATCCTATCTTTCCCCTTGATATCTCCCGCTCATCCTTCTGACCTGTCACCTTCTCCAGGAGGCTCTCCCTGATCTCCAAGGAGATCTGGTTGCTCCTCTTCTCCAACTAAAAGTCCTCAAAACTAACCTTTATTGAGCCCTTACTATGCGCCAGGTTTGGGGCTAAACTCCATCATGTCAGCATCTTATGTAATCCTTGAAGGGACATAGGAAGTGGTAGTACTGTCCATTTCACAGATGAGATAAGCTAGGCACCGAGGAGCTGCAACGCACAACCCAGATCCGACAGAACCTTCACCACTCTGCTTCTTCCTGCGCACCGAGGGGCAGGCTCCCCATGGGGAGTCTCTCTCCCTGCTGCGTCCCCACAGTGAGGTGTGGGGCCTGTCAGAAGAGGGCACAGACAAGCAGGCTAAAGAAACCAGAGGCCCCAGGAGGCTGGGCCAGGGCTATAGGCAGATGTGGTCCCCTCTGCTTGGCTTATCCTGGATCCCCATCCACATCCACCACTGGTTCCCAAAGCAGCCCCGATCCCTCAGCACCTTGGGGAAGGAGCAACAGAAGCAGGTCTCGCGGGGAGGTACCATTTCCTCGGTTGTCTTTTTTATTTTTTGAGATGGAGTCTCACTCTGTCACCCAGGCTGGAGTTCAGTGGCACGATCTCAGCTCACTGCAACCTCTGTCTCCTGGGTTCAAACAATTCTCCTGCCTCAGCCTCCCAAGTAGCTGGGACTACAGGTGTCTGCCACCACGCCTGGCTAATTTTTGTATTTTTGGTAGAGACGGGGTTTCACCATGTTAGCCAGGCTGGTCTCGAACTCCAGACGTCAAGTGATCCACCCGCTTCCGCCTCCCAAAGTTCTGGGATGACAGGTGTGAGACACCACACCCAGCCCGTTTACTCGGTTGTCTAGAGTTGACAGGACAGTCCTGAGTCCCGCAGGCTGCAGCTGTGGCCCCTGGGGTGAGTAGGCAGAATGAGGTAGGTGGTAGGAGGGGCAGCCTGTCTCCTGAGAGGCCCTGGGGTCTCTGCTTCAGCCCTGGCCTCGAGGCTTCAGGGTCTACCTGAAGGTGTGTTCCCAGAGGGGACGGTTCGGTCCATGGGGGATCCAGAGGCCGCCCACACACTGATGCAGAGCTGCAGCACCATCACTGCCCACACCTCCCCCTGCCTGGTGTGGCATCCGGTGGTCCCCGTCCTCCTGCGCTCAGCCGGCCTCGGTCAGCTGGGGAGGAGGAGGGGCTCAAGCTCCGAGGCGGCAGCGCTGCGCCTGTACACCAAGAACTGGATGGAGATCTGGGGGTGCCGCGGTTAAGGCCAAGCTGAGCAGACTGGGTTAGACCCGCCCCTGGGGGCCTTCCACTCCTGGGAGCTGCCTCCCTCTCCCCTCCCTCCCACCCCCACGCTGCAGCTGGGAAGGGCCAGCCATCACCTCCTGGCCTGTACCTTAGCTGTGCCCTCCATTCGGAATGCCTGTCCGGCTGCTCAAGCCCTAGCCAAGCTCCATTTGTCTCCAAGCCCAGCAGTGACTTCTCCCTCCCTTGACTCTGGCCCAGGATCTTCTCTTCCTCTCACCCTGTGACATCCTGGAGCTTGCCAGGTGGCTGGGCCGTTTTGGGGGCACAAGAGCCTAAACTTTCACTTCTCCCTGCACCCAGCAGGGACTCAGCAAATATTAAAACCAAGGCCATGTTTACTTTCTCCCAAATGAGACCCAGATAACGCTCTGTCCAGCCATTCAGCAAACACGTGCTAAGCCCTCATTGATCACGGGGTTCTGTTTCCAGCTACCTCGTCTTACACAATGTCCGGACGAGACAGCAGCTGTCAACTGAGGTGAAGACAGCAGCACAGAGAGGTTGACCGTGTGCCCTGCATCACACAGCTGGGAAGCAGGGGAGGAGCCAGGATTTGAACCCAGGTTTGTCCGACCAACTCATGTGTGTCTCCACACTCCAGCTCTCATTCGCACAGCCTGGAACATTCCTCTCCTGCCTTCGCCTGACTAACTTCTCCTTCTCTGTCAGGTCACAGGTTCAGTGAGACTTACAGGGGCCTCTGCTGCCACTTTAACCAGGACAGCCCCTGGATGGCCCCTGGCTAGATGCTTTTGTTTTTCTCTGCAGTACCTGGTGCCACTTAATTCTTTGATGATAACGTTGTGTCCTCCCTCCCTCCCCCGAACTGTAAGCTTCTAAGGCACTCATGGCTCTTCTTACTCACTCATGGCTCCAGGGTCCAGCTGGGTGCCCAGCACGCAGGTGTGCACAACTGGGTGAACGGATGGAGGGAGAGAGGGATGGCTGGACGGATGAAGGGAGGGATGGACGGATGAAGGGAGGGACAGACGGATGAAGGGAGGGACGGATGGATGGAGGGAGGGAGAGATGGATGGAGAGGGACGGACGGATGAAGGGAGGGACGGATGGATGAAGGGAGGGATGGATGGATGGAGGGAGGGATGGATGGATGAAGGAAGGGACGGATGGATGAAGGAAGGCACGGAAGGATGAAGGGAGGGAGAGACGGATGGAGGGAGGGAGAGACAGATGGAGGGAGGGAGAGACGGATGGAGGGAGGGAGGGACGGATGGAGGGAGGGAGGGACGGATGGAGGGAGGGAGAGACGGATGGAGGGAGGGAGAGACGGATGAAGAGAGGGTCAGACTGATGAAGGGAGGGACGGACGGATGGAGGGAGGGACGGACGGATGGAGGGAGGGACGGACGGATGGAGGGAGGGACGGATGGATGGAGGGAGGGAGAGACGGATGAGTGCTGAAGCTGTGCACAGGCAGGGGCTTCCTTGCCCACACCCCCACCACCAGCCCCACACGCCCTGAAGGATACGATGGTGTCGAGCAGCAGCACGCCCAGGCTGCCCACAAGCCAGGGGAGGTGGTGCAGCAAGTAGCTGCCCTCGCTCTGACCCTCCTCGGGGTTTTTGAGCAGCACGCTCAGCCCATACAGCGTGTTCCCCAGCATCACCAGCGCGAACAGCGAGTAGGAGATCCCCTGGGTGGACTTCCGGAGGAACTGAGGCAGAAGGAGTTTGGGTCAGAGATCTCCAACAGGCCTCCTGTCACTCTGGATTGTCACTGTCCACAGGTCCACCTGCCCCACCACAGTGCACCTGCCCTGAGCTCCTCTCTCCCTGGGTGCCCAACATCTGACATGGGCCCGACACACAGAAGAGCCTCCTCTCACCCACAGACAAGCCCTCCCAGGCCCCTGCCCGGGTCCACAGGAGACCGTGGCTGTGCCAGGCCTGCCGGCCCCATGCCACCCTGCGTTCCACCCTACACAGGCTCTAGCTGCCCAGCAAGCCTCCCCTTCCCGACTCCCCAGCTTCTCCTCTCCCCTCAGGCCTCCAAGCTCAGCCCCTCACCTTCCCCTGAACTCCTACTCCTCCAAGACACACATGGGTCTCTTGCAGCCTGGCTGGCAGGCCACATCGCGCCTGTTTTCCAGAAGCAGAAACGGAAGCTCAGAGACTGGATTAACTTGCCCAAGCCAACAGTGGGAGCAGCCCAGACTTTCTGAACCAAGGCTCCTATGCCGCGCTACTCCTTAGCCCAGAGGGCCCGGGTGGCCAGGCCGGCTCTCCTCTACTTGGCCCCACCCAGCCCCTGCTGGAGGCTCACGTTGGTGCGGATCTGAGGCAGCCGGGAGAGCAGGTACAACACACTGGAGACGGAGCCGATGACGAAGCCGATGATTTCCTGCCGGGTGAAGGGCTGTGGGGCAGAAGGGGGCACTTGGTACCTCATAGGTGCCAGAGGTGATCCCCCTCCCCACTGAGCGCCCACGAGGCTATGCAGGGGAGAGCCCTGGGGACGAGCCAGCCTCCATCCCTTCTACCGCCACACCCATGGCTCACCTTGCTGCCCGGCTCCACAGACAGGAGCGCCCGTCCCCGGAAGCCTTCCCTCGGGGCAGCCACGGGCCCAGCAGCGCTCAGCAGCGGTGTGGCGCATGCCGTCCCCATGAGGAACAGCAGCATGGAGTTGATGGGGGCAGACACTGCACATGAGGCAGGAGGGAGGCTGAGGTTAGATGGCTGAGTGGCAGCGGGGGGAGGCTGAGTCCTGGCCTTGCCCCTCAGGGGCTGTGTGACCTTGGGCAAGTGACCTAACCTCTCTCAGCTTTAATTCTTCATCTGTTGAATGGGTACAACAGTACCCTTCTCCTAGAGTTATAAAGGTGAAACGCTGAGGGCAGGGAGGTCAGGAGGGGTTATACGAAGCAGAAATGCTGAAGAAAAACAATCCTTCCCAGGTCCCTCCCCATGTCCGTATGGCCTCAAGCTGACCTTGTCTCCTGCTCCTCCTGAAGGCTGGGGCAGAGGCAGCCTGTGTGACTTGTCCTCGTTTCCCCAGCTCCAAGCCCAGGGCTGGACACAGAGGAGGAGCTGGAGCTGTGCCTGCCGAACGGGCCCCTGGGTGAGAGGAACCGGCCTGTGGTTTGGGCCAGGATACGCTCACTGCCCTCAAGTCTCTATCTTGGCCGATTAAGGCTCAGGCTCTTAGATAAGGCCCGGGGAAGCCTTTCCGAGGTTCGGGTTATCACCCAGCCATGGGAAACCCGCTTCCTCCCACACTCCAGGCACCCCTGTCGCCCACGGCCCCCCGCTGCTGGTAGAGCATCTGACGGAGAGTGGTCCCCATACTCACATGGAGAGGGGAGTTTCCTGAACTTGTAGTAAAAGTACAGCGTCAGCATCACCAGGTCTGCCATGACGTAATACACAGCTGTGTAGGACTGTAAGAGACGCAGGGGGCCCGGGGGTTGGCGCGGTGCCGGGATCTGGGACCGCGCCCCGGCAGCGCTCTGTCATATCCCAGCTGGGTGACCCTGACCGAGTCACTTCGCCTCTCTGAGCTTCTGTTTCCTTATCTGGCAAGGAAGAGCTCACAGTTCCCACCTGGCAATGACAGAACAGGTGGGCAAAAGACCCAGGAAAGGATCTAGCCCAGGAAGTGCCAGTGAGCTGATGGTCAGTGCCAGCAGTCAGGACAAAGCGGGACTCCGCAGTGAAGAGATGGCTCTGGTTTCACCTGACGCCGCGGCAGTCAGAACCTTCTGGTCCCACATGGGAAGACAATGCCTTCCTGATGGGGAGCCCCAGCTCTGCCTGCCCACAGGAGCGGGATGGCACCCGGGCCTCCCACAGAAAAACGCCTTTCCTCCTCGAGGGTCCACCCTCTGGAAGCTTCGCCAGCATTCCAGCACCCTGGAGGCGGAAGAGCGGAAACCTTCCTGTCAGACATGCTCACATTGCAGATGGGAATACTGGGGCCCAGAGAAGAGCAGTGGCCTGCCCACAGCCACAGTTCGGCAGACAGAAGGATGGGCCCTCACAAGATGCAACGACGGGTCAGGGTTCTGGAGACCAGGCGGGCCAAAGCGCCTGGCATCTCCTCAGGCAACCCTGCAGGGTGAGGCAGGGTTAGGGTTAGCGCCACCCTGCCCGGGTACCAGCCCACCTGCAGGGGCAGCTGGTCAGCAAGGAAGGAGCCGATGAGGTTGCAGGAGTCTCCGCCGATCCAGCCCAGGAGGAACCACAGGGACAGCGCCTGGTCCATGTTGCCCGTCTTGTAGGCTTTGATGAACTGGCTGTGGAAGAGGAAGAGCAGGGGACGCATGTTTGGGCCATCTTACAGGGAATGCTGCCTTACAGGGGACACCGCCCAGAGATGACCACGGGGGAGTGCGGCGGTAACGGAGAGGAGATGGCCTGGGGGCCCACTCTCCCCATGGGCAGGATCCTCAGGAGCCTTCTCAGCTCTTTGGAGGAGTCTCCTGGGGAATCCCTTCTAAGCCGAGGGCTCTAGGGCTATGCCTCTCTCCAGGGAAAGCCCCAGCCTTACTCAGATTCTCCTCCACCACACCCTGGGGTCTCCAGTGGGGATCTGGGGCCTATGTGGGGTCCTGAAGTTTTGTGTTGGGCCCTGAGAACTGCTGCATAGAACCCTGGATCCTTTCTCCTATGGATGCAGGGAGGGGCACTGCAACAAGAACGGTGCTGGGGAAGGGACACACGGGCCGAAGGCCTGGGCACACCGGGTCTGTAGGAGCAGCTGCAGCCAAGACAGGCAGAACCCCGGCCCGGTTCTCTTTAAAGGGCAACAGAGAAGGGCAGGGCTGAGGTGCCTGGAGCTCCACTATCAAGGTGGTGGACTTTTGGTCCCCTGGCTGTTTTCCCAAAGGTCCCCGGTGCTGGGACCCTCTTAGGACTTCTGGTCAGGTGCAGGTACGAAGCCAAACCTGGCAGTGGCACTGAGGCCCAGGGCAGTTCTGACCCCTCTGTATGTGTGTTGACTCATTCTGTCCTCAAGACACCTGTGCTGTCCAGTCTACCACGATGACCTCCTCACTGGGCCTGGAGGAAGCTGTGCCATACGGCTCGGATTCAACCCCTACCTGAGCCTCCGGTCTTGCCCTTAACCATTATACATATTGCCATTTACTGTTCCAGCTTCTTTTTAACCACCTGCATGCATGAAGGAAAACAGACAGACAGAAAGAAACTAAATGGTGGCCAGACATGGTGGCTCACACCTGCAATCCCAACACTTTGGGAGGTCGAGGCAGGTGAATCACTTGAGGACAGAAGTTTGAGACCAGCCCGGCCAACTTGGTGAATCTCTACCAAAAATAAAAAAATCAGCTAGGCATGGTGGTGCACACCTGTAATCGCAGCTATTCAGGAAGCTAAGGGATGAGAATTGCTTGAACCCAGGAGGTGGAGGTTGCAGTAAGCTGAGATCACACTACTGCCTTTCAGCCTGGGCAACACAGTAAGACCCTGTCTCAAAAAAGAAAATACAAAGAAACAAAGAAACTAACTAAATGGCAGCTCATCCCATCCATGATCCAAGCCAGAAACTAAGAAACGGGCACTGGCTGGGTTCTTCCCACAGCCAGTCCTTCCATCCGCCTCCCTCAGCCTCCTAACAAGCCTCCCTCATTTCAGATGAATCCTCTCTTTCAGAAATCTTTCTAAAACCCCCATCTCAGCCAGGAGCAGTGGCTCATGCCTATAATCCCAACACTTTGGAGGCTGGGCGTGGTAGCTCACACCTATAATCCCAGCACTTCAGGAGGCTGAAGAAAGAGAATCACTTGAGCCTAGAAGTTCCAGACCAGCCTGGGCAACACAGCAAGACCCCGCCTCTACCAAAAAAAAAAAAAAATTAGCCAAGTGTGGAGTGGGGACCTGTGGTCCCAGCTACTCAGGAGACTGAGGTGGGAGGATCACTTGAGCCCAAGAGGTTGAGGCAGCAGTGAGCTAGGACTGCACCACTGCACCTCAGCCTGGAAGTGAGACCTTGTCTCAGAAAAAAAAAATGTCTTTAATAACAAATAAAAAAACTAAAATCCCAGTGTCACCAAAAACTGTCAGAGTCTTCCAGTGCTCTTCGACAAGGACCCCCATTCTGAGAGGGGGCCCTTGCAAGGCCCCAGGCTCGTCGCCCCAGGATGGCTGTTTTCCTCCCAGCTCTGGTCTCATATGTCCCGCCCACCCCTCCTCAGGCCCAGAGGCCTCGGAGTCACCTTTCCCATCTCAGGAAATGTCGGTTCCTCCTCTGGGCCTCCCCTGACACGAGCTCCACTGGCATCTTCTCCTTCCTCCTTTGTAACACTTGACATCCCCGTCCCTCCCAGATTCACTTAAATTTCCTGAGGACAGGGGGAGTGGTGAGCATAGGCCCAGCACTGAGAAGGCCCTGAACCGAGGTTTATCCCATGGCCCTTACAGTAAAGCTCCTCCTAAGAGGCTATGACTCAATTTGCCTTCATCAATTGCAGGAAAGTGATTCTGTCCCACTCAGGAGAGATGGAGTCCTAGGGAAGACCAGGGGCGCAGCCACCCTCCCTCCATCACTTAGGGCTCTCTCCCAGGCCTCCAATCCCCTCCATGGTTAATCAACCAGCCCAGGCAGAAAGGGGGAGCCTCAGCCAGCTCCTCGGAGAGTCCTGAGGAAGCTCTCACCCCTGGACAGGGAGCCTCCCACCCTTGGCCCCATCAGTCACCTACACGTGTCCAGACTGCCTGGTAAGGGCCTCTCCAATCCCCTCACCATTGATGCTTTCTGAAGGCTTCCACAGCCTCCAAGGCGGCCTCCCTGCCTCCACTCTCTCTCTGTCACTCTGCTCCTTCCTCCCCATCACTCACAGATTATCTTTTCAAGGGTACCAGAATGGAAGCTCTCCAAAGGCAAGGACAACGTCTGTTTGGCTTACCTGTACCACATCCAGCATGGCACCTGGAACAAGGTAACTCAGTAAAAATGTCAAGCCTCTGAGAGGGTGCCCGGAGAAATCAATGGGGAAGGACAGTCTTTTCAACACCTGGCGCTGGGACAACTGGATATCCACATGTGCGGTGGCTCATGCCTGTAATTCCAGCACTTTTGGAGGATGAGGCAAGTAGACCACTAGTCAGGAGTTCGAGACCAGCCTAGCCAACATGGTGAAACCCCATCTTTACTAAAAATGCAATAATTTGCCAGGCATGGTGGCACATGCTTGTAATCTCAGCTACTCAGGAGGCTGAGGTAGGAGAATCACTTGAGCCCAAGAGGCGGAGGTTGCAGTAAGCCGAGATTGCACCACTGCACTCCAGCCTGAGCAACAGAGTAAGACTCTGTCTCAAAAAAAAAAAAAAAAAAAAAAAAAAGGAGACTGGACTCCTACTTCACATCATTTACAAAATATAACACAAAATGGATCAAACACCTAAATGTAAGAGTTACATCTATAAAACTCTTAGAACAAGAGATGCTGGGCACGATGGCTCATGCCTTTAACCCCAACACTTTGGAGGCTGAGACAGGAGAATAGCTTAAAGCTAGGAGTTTGAGACCAGCCTGGACAACACAGTGAGACCTTGTCTCTACCAAAAAAAAAAAAAAGAAAAATTCTATTTTTTCACAGTAGTGTGATCTTGACTCATTGCAGCCTCCGCCTGGTAGGCTCAAGCAACTCCCCCGCCTCAGCCTCCCGAGTAGCTGGGACCACAGGCACGCACCACCACATCCGGCTAATTTTGTATTTTTAGTAGAGATGGGGTTTCACCATCTTGGCCAGGCTGGTCTTGAACTCCTGACCTCAGGCAATCTGCCCGCCTCGGCCTCCCAAAGTGCTAGGATTATAGGCGTGAGCCACTACACCTGACAAAAAAAAAAATCATGGGAAGGCCGAGACGGGCGGATCACGAGGTCAGGAGATCGAGGCTAACATGGTGAAACCCCGTCTCTACTAAAAAAATACAAAAAACTGGCCGGGCGTGGTGGTGGGCACCTGTAGTCCTAGCTACTCGGGAGGCTGAGGCAGGAGAATGGCATAAACCTGGGAGGCGGAGCTTGCAGTGAGCTGAGATCTGGTTACTGCACTCCAGCCTGGGCGACAGAAGGAGACTCCATCTCAAAAAAAAAAAAAAAAAAAAAAAAATACATGAATGTGCATAGCAACATTAATCGCAATAGCTACAAAGTACAAAAGCAACCCAATATCCATCAATGGGTGAATGGGTTAGAAAATGTAGCATACACAGAGTAAATACATGAATGTGCATAGCAACATTAATCGTAATAGCTACAAAGTAGAAACAACCCAATATCCATCAATGGGTGAATGGGTTAGAAAATGTGGCATACACAGAGTAAAACAGTATCAGCCAAAAAAAGGACTGAAGTACTGCTTTGATACATTCTATGACACGGATGAATCTTGAAGACATTATGTTAAGTGAAAGAAGCCAATCACAAAAGGTCTTGTGTGATTCCACTTATACGAACCATGAAATGTCCAGAAGAGGCAAATCAACAGAGATAGAAAGTAGACTAGGGGCTGGCAGGGACTGAGAGGGTCCGGGAGGAATGAAGAATGACTGCTGATGGGCATGGCTCTCCATTCGGGCTAACGAAAATGTCCTAAAATTAGTTGTGGTGCCAGTTACACAACTCTGTGGCTACACTAAAATAACTTGTACATTGAATGGGTTAATTGCATGAAATGTGAATTCTCTCCCAATAAAGCTGTTAAAACAATGTCAAGTCCCTGATCAAACCCTTGTCTTTATCCCTCAGGATAAAGAACACATTTCTTTTTTTTTTTTTTTGAGACGCAGTCTCGCTCTGTCGCCCAGACTGGAGTGCAGTGGCCGGATCTCAGCTCACTGCAAGCTCCGCCTCCCGGGTTTACGCTATTCTCCTGCCTTAGCCTCCTGAGTAGCTGGGACTACAGGTGCCCGCCACCTCGCCTGGCTAGTTTTTTGTATTTTTTAGTAGAGATGGGGTTTCACCAGGTTAGCCAGGATGGTCTCAATCTCCTGACCTCGTGATCCGCCCGTCTCGGCCTCCCAAAGTGCTGGGATTACAGGCTTGAGCCACCGCGCCCGGCAAGAACACATTTCTTAACAGCACAGCATGCCCCTTAGGCCATAGGGCCTATGATGACTCCTGTGACCTCACCTCTCCCTGCCCTGACCCCTACACACTCTGTCCGCCATATAAACGTGGCCGCCCCTTCTCTGTACATCTGTTGCTTCCTCTGCCTGAACTGCTCTTCCACGCCCAGCCCCTGGCTCTCACCCCTCAATGCTGTCCTATCCTCGGCTTTTAGCCTAGATGCCAACACCTCCAGCTCCCTTCTTTTTTTAAATTTTAATTTAATTTTTTTGGTAGAGATAGGGTCTCACTATGTTGGCCAGGCTGGTCTTGAACTTCCAACCTCAAGTGATCCTCCTGCCTCAGTCTCCCAAAGTGCTGGGATTACAGGCGTGAGCCACTGTGCCTGGACTCCAGGTCCTTCCTGACTGTAATCTTCTTCTGCCTCTGCAGATCAGGGTGGGTGTCCCTTTTCTGTGCTTTATATAATAATAGCACTGTCACCACTGACAGCTTTCAGGCTTGTGCAAACATTGTGTGAAGATCCTGAGTGGGCAGCTCTCCCTACACACCCACATGCCATCTTCATAGCAGCTGTCTCAGTTAGGTAACAATATTTCCAGGACACAAGCAAGGAAACTGAGGCTCAGGGCAGTGAGGTGACACGCCCAGGTCAGGATGCTCTTGACCCCTGTGCCTCATGTCCTCGCTCCCCGATCACAGCAGCAGCCACGCAATGTTGTGTTCACTGCTGCTATCTCCACCACCCGACTGTCAAAGCCTGGAGGACAGAAGCTGTGTTTGACGCGTTCCATCCCTCCCACTCTCCCGCCCCATCTCTGACCAGCTGTGCCACCTAAAGCAAATGGCTTAACTTCTCTGGGTTTTGGATCCCTCATCTGTAAAATAGATGGATGGTAACTACCCCTATTTCACAAGGTTGTTGTGAGGATTAAATGACATAGAAATATGGCAAGTGCTTAGAAGCAAGCCAGGTATGTGGTGGGCGCTCAATAAACTGTTGCAAAGGTGATGATCTCTGCATCAGCATCGCCCGGCACAAGGTCTGGCCTGTGGGAGGGACCAGTGCAGGTCCCTCCTGGGTGGGTAGGAAATCAAGGGAGCACACCCAGCCTCCAGTTTGGAGAGGCCTGTGGCCCACCAGGCAAGCCCTCTCTGAGCAGTAGCTGGAGCCACTGCCCCAACCCCACAGCCCTGCCCTGGTCCTGCCACCCAGACACTACTCACGGGAAGGTAGACGCAGCAAAGCAGAGAATGGAGATCAAGCCCAGGCCCACACTGGCCTCATCCCAGCCGTCCTGGGCACATTCACCCAGCACATCCCATATCCACTGGATGGAACCATTAGGGCAGCTGGAGAAGTTGCGGGAGCCCAGTTTCTTCCAGACCATGGCTGTGGAGGAGGGGCCCCCGGCCAGGCAGGTCTGCACGGGAGGGAAGGTGCTGGTGTTCCGAGGCCAGCAAGGGTTCTACAGGGAGGAAGAGAGGATTTCAGCACTGGGAGGTCCAGGTCCTATTCATGGTCATCCCAAATGAAGCTCATCCCAGCCTTTTCATCGGGTGCCTCGCCCGGAACCAGAGAAGGGCAAAGACATAATCCTTACCCACCAGGACCCGATCAGCCCCCAGGTACACAGATCACAGCAAACACATGCCAGCTACAGACGCGTGCAGGCAGCGCGCTGGATCTGCAGAAGGGACGGGTGTGTTCAAATCCCTGCTTCACCACCCATTCATGCTGGACTTTGGGCAAAGACTCAGCCTTTCTGTGCCTGAGCCCTCTCATCTGTAAATGGGGTCCTCACAGCGCTCCTCCCACATACGGTTGTTGTGTGGGTTCAATGAGTTCATACACAGTGTGATGAACTGAGCCCTCCATGTTATCTTTTCCTATGACTCTTGAACGCTTAGGTTGGTCCTAATTTATTGTTATTATTGTAAATTACTCTGTAAGGATCTGCTGAGGCCAGGCCCATCAAGTTTATCTAATTTAAAGCAGGTGTAGCCAGGAGCGATGGCTCATGCCTGTAATCCCCACACTTTGGGAGACCAAGGTGGGAAGACAGCTTGAGTCCAGGAGACGGAGACCAGCCTGGCAGCCTGGGCAACATAACAAGACCCTATCTCTAAAAAAAATTTAAAAAAAAATACAAAAATTAGCCAAACAAGGTGGTGTGCGCCTCTGGTCCTAGCTACTCATGAGGCTGAGGTGGGAGATCACTTGAGCCTAGGAGGTAGACGCTATAGAGAGCCACGATCTCACCAATGTACTCCAACCTGGATGACAGAGCAAGACCCTGTGTCGAAACAACAATAACAAAAGATAAGGGCTAGGCACTGCGCCAGCACTCTAGGAGGCTGAGGCGGGAAAGATCACTTCAGCCCAGGAGTTCGAGAACAGCCTGGGCAATGCTGTCTCTAGAACAAAATTCAAAAATTAGCCAGGTGTGGAGGCACACGCTTGTAGTCCCAGCTAGCTACTCAGGAGGCTAAGGTGGAAGAATCGCTTGAGTCCAGGAGGTGGAGGTTGCACAGCAAGCCATGATCGTGCCACTGCACTCCAGCCTGGGCGACAGAGCTGGACTGTCTTAAAAGAAAAACAAACACACACACACACACACACAAACCATAAAGCAGGTTGCCCCACACAGATGAGGCAAGTGGAGAAGAGGAGCAAGGGATCCCCGGGTTTGCGTGAGTGACAAGGACTCAAGTTTGGGACACTGCAGCCTGTATTCTCCCAGGAGCTCACAGAGCATGGCGGACGCCTACCAGCAGGGAGTCCACAGCCACCTCCTCACTGTCACACTGACAAAGCCAGAATATGGCTGATCACAGAGGTGGGCAGGGCAGGCCTCTCCTGGTACCCGGGCATCCTGGACAGTGCGTAGGGCAGTCATTGCCTGCGTGACACCTTAGAGGAGGGAGGGAAAGTGAGGCTCGGCTGGGCCATCTCTATCAGCGATCGTCACCACAGCTTGGACCAGTGAGCCAAGCCTCCTGCATGCATTCATGTTTCATCTTCACAGCAACTATGAAGTGGGGACCACTGATATCCACAAGGAGCCTGAGCCAGAGTGCGGAAGTGATGTGCCAAGGCCACCCAGCCAGGAAGCCACAGAGTCAGACCCAAGACTCAGACCGACACCCCTGCTCATGGCCACCTGCCACACCACCCGCCTCAGGTGCATCTGTCACCAGCGAAGCAGAAGCCTTCTGTGGCTCCCCAGCAAGCAGACACAGAGAGACAGAGAGAGAAGCCTCTGTGGTCTGGCAAGACTGCACAGCCACAACGTGGGCTTCCCCTCTTCTCCCTGTGCTCAGAGGGGATTTCCTCACGCAGGCGGCGGATTTCCTCGCTGCCTTCATTCCCACTTGTGTCAGGAGGCCCGGACTCCCCAGCTAGTCCCTGCCTGGCCCCACGGAACTGCTGAGGACAGAGACCAGGGAGCACCAGGAGGGAAAGGAAGTGAGTCAGCACCTCCTCTCAGGAAGCCACAGACCCTCAGCCCTAATGTGACTCGCTATGGGCAGAGGCCCTAGACCTGAAGGTAAGGGCGCCCCGGGTCACTGGACTACCTCCAGGGCCTGGCACAGGCAGGGAGGCTGAAAGCCTCTTCCTTGTGTCTTTGTGGCCCACCTGGCGGACCATCAGCACAGCTGATGTTAGAAGCCTTCACCTGATGCCTCATCTCCAGCCCCTGAAAGGCCACTCCAAATTAGCATAGAGTCCAGGTGTGGCCGGGCGCAGTGGCTCACACCTGTAATCCCAGCAGTTTGGGAGGCCGAGGCAGTTGGATCACTTGAGCTCAGGAGCTGCAGAACAACCTGGCCAACATGGTGAAACCCCATCTCTATCAAAAATACAAAAATTAGCTGCGCGTGGTGGTGCGTGCCTGTAATCCCAGCTACTCGGGAGGCTGAGGCAGTAGAATCACTTGAACTCAGGAGGCAGAGTTGCAGTGAGCCAAGATTGCACCACTGCACTCCAGCCTGGCCGACAGAGCGAGACTCCGTCTCAAAAACAAAACAAAACACAAACAAAAAAAACCATATAGTCCAGGTGAGAACTACGTTTGCAATGCCAAAAGCATTTCAAATCAAGTCCTCATGTTCTCAGCCACCACTCCCAACTGGGCTACAACCCCATACCCCCTTGCAGAATCTGAAGACAAGGCTGCAGCTCATCCACTGCCATCCCCACCACTCCCCGGCAAGGTCGGGTATACTGTGCTCATTTCACAGGTGAGGCTGAGCGGCCTTGGAAGTGAGTTAACCTGCCTGAGCCTGTCTATAAAAGGGGGCTAATGACACTCACTCCTTGGGGCAGCTGTCCTGACTAAATGCACATAAAGCTCTCAGCCCCTGTGCCTGACGACACACGGCAGCGACTGTTTTCAGGATGAGAGTCCAGCATCTCAACCACCTTGGGGGCTCTCATTTCCCCCTTTCCCCAGGTTAGGGAGGAAATGAAATGGACACATCTCAGTATGTGTGTGTTGGGGGGTTGTCTCGAGGAAGGTACCTTGGTTTATGGAGCCTGCAGCCTGTCTCTCACTTCCCTTTCCCCAGGTTAGGGAGGAAATGAAACGGACACATCTCAATATGTGTGTGTTGGGGAATTGTCTTGAGGAAGGTACCGTGGTTTATGGATCCAGCATACTGGGTGGGTGGCCCCCTAACCTTGGACAGGACCCATATGCAATCTGCAACTCAGGACACTTTGAGACACACCTGATCCCCGAACAGAAGGGCCTTGCTCTTGAGGGCCATCCTGCGTAGTTCCTGTCACCTAGAAGCCAGGCATGGGCCCACTTCCCGTTCATACAGCACTGAACAAATGGATGCCCAAGGTTGCAATGGAGCTTGACCTCATCTGTAAGGATGGCAAGGACCCCAGAAGGGGTACCCTGGAATCACCCTTGGAGGGTGCATGTTCAAAATTTGGAGTCAGTGCACCTGGGCTGTGGCTTAGAGATTCTGGGTTTAAGAAGTCCTCCAGCGATTCTGCTCCATCTGGTGCACTTTGAGAAAGGCTGGGTTGGAGATGGCATCTCCTGCCACACCCAAACTCTTCTCCCTGATCCCAAGCTGAGTCAGGGATGCTTCAGGCACATGATCACAGCCGATCATGTGTCCACCTTTGTCTACAGAATCAAGTCCAAATTACCTGAGGCTAGGCCTCAAGTTACTCCAAGAACTGCCCTCCCAACCTTATCTCCTGCCTCCTGACCCACGTCTTCAGTCATTTCAAGTCTCCAGACTTTTGCACATGCTCTCTTCCCCTAGAAGTGTCCCGCTCCCCTTCAAGGGCCTGGTCATGAAATAAGAAGACTCACTTCTAAATTGCCCTTTCAAAGATGTCCCGTGAGACCTGGCTGGATAACACCTGCTACCTTCCCCTCTCCCCTCCTCCACACACCTGAAGAACGCTACCACCGTCCTCTGCGACCAGTGTCCCTGAAACATACTCTCCTGACTCTGGGTTGTGCATTTCTTATTCTCCAGGTCTAAACACACCTAGAGGTTCAGCAAATGTTGAGAGAGAGAAAGAGAGAGAGGCAGAGAGAAGGACAGAGTGAAGAAGACAGGAAATAGGGGCGAGGAAAGGAGAAAGGGGATAAAGAGACAGAAGAGGAAGGAAAGGAGAAAGAAAGGAAGAGGGGATAGCTGTGAGCTCGAACAGTCCAGCGTTGAGGAGAAAAGCACTCCGGAACAGACCTGCTCGATGCCTACCAGTCTGGAACTCAAGTGATTTAGCTTTGTAGTGCTCATCTGAAAAGTAGGGGAATAATGCAATACCCACCCCCTAGGCTGACTGCAGAGTTAAATGAGACAATCCAGGCCAAGCGATTACAAGGGTGCCGGGCACAGGCACTCAACACCAACAGCCCAAAATGACTATTATTTGTTCTCGCTGTAGCCCCTCCAGCGTCCAGGCACACAGGTGCCTTCAGTAAGCCTTGATCAGACATGACCTGTGACCCCGGCCCAGGACCTCTCACACTTTCAGACTCAGACTCTCCATGCACACGTTTGGAAACCTACCCTAAGCACGGCGTGGGAGGAGGCAGTGTGGGTACTCGTCCCTGCAGACCTGGGGAGAATGTGGGGGGAGGAGCGTCCCGGCTCGGGGCTACCACCCACTCCAGGCCTCGGCGTCCTCAGCCACAGCTCCCTCCTGGTGACTCAGACCGGCGCGGGCCGCCTGTTTGGAGGGATAATGATAGGACAGCTGCTGGGGCCAGCGCCGCGAGGGCCCCTCGCCCGGCCGGCCCGGGAAAAACGAAGCAGCCATCAGATGCCAAGGGGCCGGTCGGCCGGGACAGGAGGTGAAAGGGGACCCGGCCCCCAGCTCCTGACCAGGCCAGCTCGAGAGGCTGCGCTGGTCGCCCTTGAGGTGGGGGGGCCACGGGGCTGCGGATTCCCAAGAGCCACCCAGTCCCGGTCCGGAGCCTCGTCCCAGGATGTCGCGCCACAAGGAGGGCGCAGGGGCCCGGACAGTCCAGAGGCCAGAGGAGAGGGCTGGAAGGACGTGGCAGGGAAGCCCAGGAGCCCCGACCCCCAGCCGTGGAGTTTGCCACCTGTCCCCGGGCCGGCTCACCAAGTCCAGATCCGCCGCCAGGGCCCAGCTTCTGGGTCAGGGCCCGCCGGGTCAGCTGACCGCGCGCCGCCGCCCGGCCCCGGGAACCGCAGGCCCCGCCCCCACGCCGCTTGTGGGGCGGACCCGGCCTGGAGGTGCCCTGGGGACGCGCCTGGTGTCCCCGCCCCCCACCACCTCCGCGCTCCGCCCCGACGTGGGCGGGGCCCTCCGGCTCCTAACGCGCAGGCGCTGCTGCTATGCTGAGCGCCGCGTCTCGCGTAGTCTCCCGCGCCGCCGTACCTTGCGCGCTTCGCTCCCCGCAGCCCGAGGCCCGCGCGCTAGCCATGTCCCGGCCACCGCCACCGCGGGTCGCCACGGTGCTGGGCACCATGGAGATGGGGCGCCGCATGGACGCGCCCGCCAGCGCCGCGGCCGTGCGCGCCTTTCTGGAGCGCGGCCACACCGAACTGGACACGGCCTTCATGTACAGCGACGGCCAGTCCGAGACCATCCTGGGCGGTCTGGGGCTCGGGCTGGGCGGCAGTGACTGCAGAGGTAACAGTGGCCCCTGATTCTCCCCATGCATCGTGCAGAGCTGAGCCCGTCCCCAGCCGTGCACCACCCCGCTCGGGCCTGGCCGCGGGCACCACCGACGGCTTCGTTCCTCGCCCCACCCACGTCCACCCCGCAGCTCTGGGAACCCCAGGACAACTGGACAGTGCTTTGCCCTGACTCCTTTCCCCCACTCTCCTTCCACTGGGAGTTGCAGCGCGAGAGTCTCCCCCTAGCCTGGTCTGGCCCGTCGCTTCCCACCTCCATTGATGCCCCCGCCTCCAAGCCTGCCGGGTGCGCATAACCGGTCCCTACCCAGGCTGTCCCCCTTTTCTCTATCCCTTCGTTGCCATCATCACCCATGCACTCTCTGGGCAGCCTTTTCTCATCCTGGCCTTTTCTTAACCACTAGACTTTGCCCTGTTCAGCTGGCAGTACCTCTGCCTGTCTCAGGGAGAACTGTGGCGATGCTTCAGGCTGGCTGGGAGAGTAGGGGTGTTTGGGAGTGCAGACGCGTGAGGGCTAGGGACTTTCCACTCTATGCCAGGCTTTGACATGGATCATAGGAGAGAAAGTAACTCCAGCCCTCCACAGGGAGTTCAGAGTCTGATGGGGAAGACTGAAATAATGATTGCTGGAGAGCTCAGAAGAGAGAGTACTTTGGAGAGCTGCAGGCCAGGGAGAGGCACTAGGGAAGGCTCAGCAAATGCTGGATGGAGCTTGGCCTTAAAGGCTCAGTGGTAGGTTGGAGGAGAACAGGAGAAAGGAGCATCAGAGTCTGTGCAAAGACTTGGTTTGGAAATGCAATGTGTGTGATGTGTGAAAGGAAGGCCACTGGGCAGGTGGGGCTTGAGCAGAGGATGGAGGGGACTGTTCCTCATGAGCCTGGTGCCCTTGATAGCCCTTGGGAGGGTGCCTGGCACGTAGTGAGGACCCAGGGAACGTGGGCTGTTACCCTTACCATGCTTCACCCACTGGACTATCCTGAGGCTTTTGCTGCCCACCCCTGAGAAGAGGCTCTCTCTGGGCCCACCTTAGAGTTGTAGTGTGTGGTAGGTGGGGTGGGGGGAAGAGGGTGAATGTGAATCTCAGGCCCACACTCTTTCTAGTTCACCTGGCTGCATGTTGTTGTTGTTGTTATTTGAGATGGAATCTTGCTCTGTCACCCAGGGTGGAGTGCAATGGCATGATCTCAGCTCACTGCAACCTCTGCGTTAGCCTCCCAAGTAACTGGGATTACGGGTACACGCCACCACGCCCAGCTAATTTTTGTATTTTTAGTAGAGATGGGGTTTCACCATATTGGCCAGGTTGGTTTCCAACTCCCGACCTCAAGTGATCTGCCCACCTCAGCCTCCCAAAGTGCTGGGATTATAGGTGTGAGCCACCGTGCCCAGCCAGGTTACATATTATTAATAATGAAGATTTTGTTCCTGAGTTGGTTTTTCTTCTCCAGCCCTTCCCCGCTTCCATCTTTGAGGCCAGGAGCTCACTGGACCAAAGTCCTCAAGCCAGGCCTGAGGCAAAGTTCATACCAAGAATGCCTGCAGGGCTGTGGGGAAATGGAGAAAATCTGGATGAGGAACTGTGGAACTTTCTCTTCCATATCCCAGCTGATCTCATGACACCCCTCTGAGCTACTGAGCTGAGTTTGCCAAGTGCGAAAAGTGCAGAATCCGTCCACCCACCAATCCAGACAGCTGGAGTTCTTTTTTTTGTTTTGTTTTGTTTTTTGTTTTTTGAGACAGAGTCTCACTCTCTCACCCGGGCTGGAGTGCAATGGCACAATTTGGACTCACTACAACCTCTGCCTCCCGGGTTCAAGTGATTCTCCTGCCTCAGCCTCCCAAGTAGGGGTTACAGGCACGTGCCACCACACCTGGCTAATTTTTGTATTTTTAGTAGCGATAGGGTTTCACCATGTTGGCCAGGCTGGTCTCGAACTCCTGACCTCAGGTGATCCACCCACCTCAGCCTCCCAAAGTGCTGGGATTACAGGCGTGAGCTACCTTTCCTGGCCCAGCTAGGGTTCTTTTTTAATTTTTATTTTTATAGAGGGAGGGTCTTGCGACATTGCCCAGGATTATCTCAAACTCTTGGGCTCAAGTGATCCTCCCTACTTAGCCTCCCAAAGCACTCCCAAACTAGGTTTACAGATTTGAGCCACATACCTGGACCAACAGCTGGGGTTCTTTCTAGGTGAAAGATTAGTGCAAAATTAACTCATTTCCAAGCTGCTTGGATGCAAAACACTGTTGTCATAGCGATGTGTCTCTACAGTGGTTGGATGTATGCTCATGCTTCTGTGAGTCGGAAAGGGGAGGGGAGAATTATAATTACATTCTGCTTAGTTTGCCTTCTAAGCTCGCAAATTGATCTCTACCACTAGGCCACATTCATGCGACTGCTTCGCTTTCCTAAATTCTTCCAGGCCTGCCCCCTTGACTTCTTTCTCTATACAGCAGCCAAGTGTGAACACAGGTGACCGGTTCACACCCTGACAAAACCTGGAATGATCAAGTTCAGATTCAGCGGGATGGTATTTAATAACTTTTGGGATCAGGTCTGTCCCTGTGTCTTGTCCTATGTCCCACTGCTCCTTGCTCTGGAATTTATGCTCTTATAACTTAGACTTGAAGGTTTGGAGCCTCACATACTGGTTTTTTATTTTATTTTTTTATTTTTATTATTATTATTTTTTTTGCCTCTTTGACTTTGCATGGGTTCCTATGCTCTGGAATGTACTTCCTGCTCCTCCTTGTTGGCTGGGACTCTGGGGGTGATCCCCTAGAGAAAGCCTTCCCTGGAGTCTCCAAGTTGGCTTCATGCATCTCATGTGGGCTCCTTGGCACGGTGTGCCTTTCCCTCCTGTGCTTACCATATTGTACCATCATCCTCTAGGGCTCCAGGAGGGCAGAGATCCATTGTGTTCAGTTCATCTCTGCATACTCAGTCTCTAGTGCAAGGCCTTGCACAGCCAGTAGGTTGGTGACTAATGATAGTTATTCTAATAGGTGAACATTGATAACTCACATATATGACATTATTTAATCCCCAGGACCTCCCAATGAGGACAGTTTGATTATTATCACCCCATTTTTACAGATCATAGAATTGAGGCCAAGAGAACATTAGTAATTTAGCTAGGGTTACACAAGTTGGCAAATGGCTTTAGTAGGTCATTTAACCATTCCATTCTCTCTCCAAGTGAAAATTGCCACCAAGGCCAACCCTTGGGATGGAAAATCACTAAAGCCTGACAGTCTCCGGTCCCAGCTGGAGACATCACTGAAGCGGCTGCAGTGTCCCCGAGTGGACCTCTTCTACCTACATGCACCTGACCACAGCACTCCAGTGGAAGAGACACTGCGCGCCTGCCACCAGCTGCACCAGGAGGTGAGGGGACCCTCCGGGCTCCGAAGGTGGGCTCCTGCCCCTTTCTTTATCCTGATCCTACTCATGAGAGCAGAGGCACCAGGGCGGTCCCAGGGTAGAGCAGGGAACAGCCCCATTCCCCGGGGTCCCACCCTGGCCTCCCCTTCCTGGTCTGGGCTGCACTGCGTTCTGACTGCTGCCTCACCCCTGCAGGGCAAGTTCGTGGAGCTTGGCCTCTCCAACTATGCTGCCTGGGAAGTGGCCGAGATCTGTACCCTCTGCAAGAGCAACGGTTGGATCCTGCCCACTGTGTACCAGGTGAGGGCCAGGGCTGCAGAGGCCAAGGTCTCCAGAACTCCCACTCATCCTGGGCTGTCTTTGCCCCTCCGACTGCCCCCATGCCCTCTGCATAGCAGCCACCCCCTGCTGAAAGCCTGCAGATGGCTCCCAGGTACCCTCAGGATGCCATTCAAGCTCCTCAGCCGGGCCACTGGGCATCTGCTTCCTTCCTGCCGGCCTGTGCACCTTGGACCCGTCCTTCCCCACCTCCTTTCGTACTTCAACCTGGAACACATTTCCCCTGCCGTCCTCCCTGGGAGAAGCACTCGGGCCTTACATAGAGGTCTCCTCCTCTGGAAGCCTTTCTAGACAGCCCCACAGGAGTCTCCAGT